ATAGCCACTAGATGTAGCACAGAACCAGGTGAGGAGTGTTTGTGTGTTCTAGTTCACTAGCAGAGTGAGAGTAGGTTAATCCCCTGCAGTGGGACAGTAATATTTTAAACAGGCACAGCTTTTTGCCCTGAGGCCACATGCCTAAGCCCTAAATCCTCACCTTCGATTTAGGAGAACTTCCTTCATCTCCCGTCTCCACCACAGGCATATCCACACATGATCCCAATCATTTTCCATCTGAACCCAGTGTGGAAAGGTGCAGTTCAGACCCTTATTCTTGTGAGAGATTTTTGAAGGACATGGTTATTCTGATGTTGCTGTGATTTTTTTTTTTTTTTTTTTTTTTTTCCCCCCCCCCCCCCCCGCAATGAATCCCTGGCCATAGCACACACTTGGGCATTTGCTCTGTGGATTTCTCACTGTGAACCAGCCCAAGATCCCATGTGAGCCAGCAGATGGTGGGGAGAGCCCTCAGCACAGTGTGAGCAGCCTCCCTCTGCTCCAGCACCAACCCAGCAAGGGGCAGGAGGCCAAGGAAGTGTTCCACCAAACCTCTCATCACCCCTGCTACCCACAAGAGCTCCAGAGACCATTTAAGAGCCTGAGTGCTCCACCTCGTCCAGCCATTTAATGAGCTGATCTCCCTGGGGCTCTCTCTGGGGTTACACCCAGAAATTTATAGCTGGCTGCAGAGTCTGTCATGCACACCAGCCTTGCTGAGTCTCCAGTGTCTTCTGCTCACTCCTTTCTGATGCTGTTCTGTTGCAGAAGATCAGCAATGGGATTCCCCTCCCTCCTGCCCAGGTGCCTCCCAGCCGACTCCATGTGAAGCAGAAGCCAGGTAGTCCCCTGGGCCAGGGACATCAGTGGGTGTTATATGAAGCTGTGCCCAAACCCCTCTGCTTTAGGGGTACGTGGGGAGGCTGGTTGCCCACTGCAGCCATGGCTGCCTGTGTGCTAGCAGGTTGCAGAAGAGCTGCTGGGGGCTTCTGCTGACTGCAGGTGCTGTTCCTCTGCTCTTTTTTTGTTCTGCAGAATCTCCTGGGGGAGAAAATGCCTCTTTAAATGATGCCCAAATGGACTTCAAGGTAAGGTGTTTCACAAGCTGAAGCTGGCACAGCCTCAAGAGATCAAGGCTGTGAAAAGTGCAAGATTCCTGGCCAGACCCTCCAAAATTCCTGAGCTGCCCCAAAATCCTCTGCCCATTTTCCCATTCCAAAGAGAGGCTCCCATGTGGTCTTTCCTCCACCGCTCCCAAGTTTGGGACCATACAATTTTGTGAGGCAGCCCAAGGTTGAGTCTTATGAGGGCAGTGCCCTTTTGCCACCCTCCAAGGAGCCAAGAGCCCCAGACACAGCAGTGTTCTCAGGCACGTACTCTTCAGCCCATTTTGCAAGAGAGCACTGCCTTCGAACTACCTGCTGTCCCTTTCCCCCTCCTCCTGTGCGACATTTTCTGTCTCTGTCGGTCTGGGTACCACAGTTTATTCACATTTGCATTCTTCTGGGATGATGTCCTCTGATGCACCTCCATGTCATTATCAACCACCGTGTGTGATGGAGCTGGAATCACTCCTGTGTCCACTTGGGGATAGCACCTCTCTGGCAGTGCCAGCTGCAGGTCAGCTCTGCTCCCTTTGTCTTTGCCACCCCTCTTTGTAGGGCTTTTGGAGCCATTTTTTGTCAGCTGTATTTCAGACGAGGCAGCAGAGCATGGGGACTTGGCTACACCTCTCCAGGTGGCTGGAGGAATTGCGGCCCTGCTCATATAGGTTAGAGATTGGGAGGTACCTGTGCGATCAGACCCCGAAACAGGCTTCCTGAGTCATGGGAGGAACATTTGATACCAGGTTTTGAATCTGTAGTTCCTCCTCTGAAATTCAGATCTGCATTTTGATGCTGCTCTACTGTCACGAGGTAGCACTGAGCCAAGGGGTTGTGTCTGTGTCACCTCTTGATATGAAGAGTCCTGAATAACCAGACTGTTTATGGTGCTACATCTCTCGGCAGATCCCACTGACCCACGGAGAAGCTTCATCCAGCACAGACAGACCTGTTGTGCTGAGAGCGCATTGCGAGTGCACCGTGGTGGTGAGGGCAGGCGAGGTGCCATCTCTGCCAGACCTGCGGGCTCTGCTGAGGGAACGGTTTGGCCAGCAGGCAGAGCGAGGGAAGCTGAGGTACACTGCAGCACAGCCAGGCCCTCTGGCACTCTCAGTGCATGAGTGTGTATGTGATGGTGTGGCAGTAGCCATTCCCCTGAGGATACAGACCTGTGTCTGGTCTCCTGGGAATGTTGGAGTGAGGTCAAAGTACTCTAGCAGAATTTCAGCACACAGACTTCCTTGCAGGGCTAACCTTACCATGGCTTTTGGTTTGGAGAACAGCATGTGCTCCATGGGCTTTGGAGGCCCAAAAGATCTTTCCCAGGAAACTGTACCATGGTCAAGAAATGGGTGAACAGAAAGAAAATGTCTGTGCAGGTGCAGCTGCTGTATATTGGATTTTCTCCTGCTCAGCTCAGCCTTTGAGATACACTAGGATCAATGCAGAGCAACTGGGGAGTTGGTCCTGGGGTGAGGTCCTCCTGATTATGACAGCCCTGGGGGCACACAGTCAGTGTAGTCAGGAGAGTTTAGGGTCTTCCCCTCAAGTAAGTGTGTGAGGAGGTGACAGTGTCACTCCCTAACAGTGCTGTTTCTGCCCACTGAGCGTGCGGGGTGGCCTGATGTCATTGTGCAAGATGACAAGCTCAGAGCTGGCTTACAAAGGGGACTTTGAAGACTGAAGATGGTAGAGGGCTAGGCTTGCCTCAAAGTTTGGTTTTAAGTGAGATGATTTGAGCCGTGTTAATGAACCCTTGCAGCTACAGGAATTTGGATGGCAAAGAACTTGGTGCAGTTTCGGGAGAGGAGGATCTGGGAAAGATGTGGCAGCAGCTGACATATGGCAGGCTGACGCTCTGCTGCCAGGTATGTGGGCTGTGACAAGCTTCTCTGCTGTGCTGGACTCAAATCTCTGCTTTGCCTTGCAACCTCCATGCTGACTTTGTCCTGTAGGACTCGGACTCCCACTCGGGCAGACCTGTCCTCTACCGGATGCTGGCCCAACACTCTTACCTTGCGCAGGGACCGGGGGACCTGGAATTCAGCAAGGGAGATGTGCTGGATGTTCTTTCTGAAGGTAGCTCTCCGGTCTGGTCTGCAGGCTTGAACTGGGGCAGGCTTTTGGAGTCTGTTGCAGGGAGGGACTGGGGAATGGATGGCCTCTCCAGTGCTGTCTCAGGCTTATACTCTCAGGAGGTACAGGCTTGTGCTGGGTTTTGCCCAGAGTTAAATTCTAGCCATGAAAACTCTTGCTAACCCCATTCATATGAGCCAGGGCTTATTCTGCTCCTTTACATTTTCTCAGTGAATGAGGACTGGCTCGAAGGACACTGTGATGGCAAGACTGGCATCTTCCCCAAATGCTTTGCAACCCAGACCGCTTGTGGTGCTGCCTTCCTATAGCGAACAGGAGCCTTTTCCTGCCTGACTGGACTGTCTCCAAGGGGTGGGAGACACCAGACCCAGCTCATTCGGGCCACAGCCAGGAGCTCTGCTGAACCTGGACAGGGGATGTCCCCCACTCACAGATCCCATGGGGTCAGTTCCAGCAGTCCAACAGCATTTTCTACAGCCTGTTCCCAGACCTGGCATTTTTACCTCTGTGCTTACACTGCCAAAGATGTGTCTGTGCAGGGCAGAGAGAAGGGAGAGTTTGGCTGTGGGAAATGTCCATGTGGTAGCTCAGACCTGAGCGGCTCAGACTGCTGGGTGGGAAGAGGTTCCTTTGGATGGAGGTCTTCACTGCCTCTCCCTTGTTGCTCAAGTTCAGGCTGGGAAGGCTGAGCCTCACTGTAATGAAGCCAAGGATAGCTGTCTGTGAGCAGGAGACAGAGCCCTGTTCCCCAGGCTCTTGGGTCACATCCTTAGCTCTACCAGACAGAGAGATGCTGCTCTTTGAAAAGGCTTTTCTAACCAGTCTGCAGTGGGGTATATGGGATAACACCTTGGGTTAGGACCACTGTGTATCATTTTCCACAGCAAATGGATCTGCCAGAGCCAAAGGGTTCTGACCATGCCTCAGCCCAGATGGCTTTGGCTCTTTTCTTAAGCCCTTAAGTCCTGCCTGGATGTCACTACTTCATGCTGCCTGGGCAGGGGTCTTGCAGCACAGAGGAGAGGTAGTTGTGGAAAAACCCCTGCTCAGACTAGCCCTGGGCTTTGGCAGAGCCTTGGAAGGGCTGGGGAGAGGGCTGGCTGAGCAGCATGGTGCTGGGCTGGTGGCTGGAGCTGGAAGGACTGAAATGACTGTCCAGTTCCTGCAGCTGAGCTGTGCTGGGCTCTGCTGATCTAAATAAAACACTCAAGTGCCTGGAGCTGCTATGGATTTGGTGTCTGACAAAGCTGGACTGTGTAACTTGAATATAAAATAAACCCTGAGCCAGAGTTGGTAGCTCTTAAATCAACTTCTACTTGTCTTTTTCTGCTGAGATATGGAGTAAATATTTTTAAAGACAGCTGACAGTGTCTTTGGGAAGATACTCTGTCACATACTACAGAAATCTTGCACATCTTGCACAGGGCAAGATACAGATAAGGTCACCCCTCTCCTCAGAGTTTAGGTGGCCACCACTGCTCTCCATCACCAATTGCCTTCTACAGCTGTTGGGAGAGAAGCCCAGCAGGACTAAAAGTGCCAAGGAAACTGTGCTAGGCTGGTGAGTGACTCTCATAATTGAAAAACAAAACAGATTTTATTTCTGGTTTGCATTTATCTGGCTTCATCTAGCCATCAAGTCTCAGTCAGCTTTTGTCAGCCGGATTAAAGGAGTCTTTTCATCTTGGAGGTGCTTAGAGAGCTCAAGACACCTTTGTCATCTGTTACATCTTTACAGAGATGACCCAATTAGACCTCCTGAGCAATGGAGATGGGTCTAATGCCCTCGTTCTTCTCCCCCTTCCACCTTCTTTTGCACCACTTCCCTGCCTAGTTTAGTGGGCAGGATTCCTCTAGTCAGGAGGCTGGGAGCTACTTGGTGTTCCAGAAACACTGGAGGAAAACAGCCACCAGGCCTGCCACTATGGCCAGCACAATGAAAGAGATGGCACCTGCCCACAGACCAGGCTGGTGCCCCTTGACATGTTCCAGAGCCTCTGTGGGGATCATGTTGGTGAAGTTCAGCATGAAGCCCAGTGTCCATCCGATGTCTGTGTTTGCTGCCTGAGGTGAGAAAGCAGAGATCATCCAAAAGTGCCTCTCCCAGTCACCAGTAGCTTCAGTGCAAGAGACTGACAGGCACCTCTCCCATGAGCTGCCCCAGCTGTGATTTCACATGTGGACCTGGCTGTGGTGAACCTGATCTTACCAGCACCAGTTACACAGGGAGCTTTCCTGTCCCCTCTTCCCGAGGGCTAAAGGGCAGCTGAACATGGATGACTGCTCTGGTCCTGATGTGCCTCTGTAACCTGCACATGATTTTGGATCTGAGCTTTCCTTCTCCACGACCCTTCAAATTTGGTCATATTCTGGTTCAAATGTGTCATGGGGCCACCATCACCTCTCTGATGCTCAAGTCAATTCTGCCCAAGATCAGAGACCAAAGTGGCCAAATCCTGCTCTGCACTTCTCTGACCCTCTTAAAATTAGCTTATGTTCACACCAGAGTAAGTGAGAAACAAACTGGTGTCAGAGGTTTGGGGGCAGGTAAGAAAGAGTGAAGCTGTGCTGGGATCACTGGGTAGCAGCCATGAGATGGGGACACATTTCTGGCGCAGGGGACTCCAGGGATGTCGCTCCTGCATGTGTCTTCGGGCCAAGGCAAGGATGCAGCTGCAGCTGCCTGCCTGCTCCCAGTGTCCCACAGGGCATTTACCTGCTGGCTGAAGTGGATGCTGCTCCATGTGTGCTCGTTGAACTTGTAGCCATCGAGCAGCAGCGTCAAGATGTAAATCCCCACAGAGCAGTATGTGTGTAGGTACCCCTTCTCCTGCGGAAAGTTCTCCACCAGCTGTGGGGCCATTGGGTGACACGGTGTAACAGGGAATGAAACAGATGCTCAGAAACCCTCCCTAGCCCAGGGAACAGCAGGATGCATGCTTCCTGGGCAGAGATTTGGGACAGGACAAGCACAGGGCTCCTCGCTGCCCTTCACAGGGCTCTCACCTCTGTCCAGTTCTTCTGGCAGAAGGTCTGGATCGTGGAGTTGATGTCATTTAGAGACTGCTTGCTTGTCAGGTTCAGGAAGTGGAAGGTGTAGTAGAACCCAGCGAAGGCCTGGGAGATAAGGGGAGATGGTAAAAACTACATCTCCTTCCTCACCCAAAAAAAGACCCAGGGCCCCTCTTGCCTGGGGACAGAGTCCCATGTAATTCCCAGGGTTCTGCATCCAGCACCCTTGAAGGTCTACCAGAAAGTCTTGGAGCTGGCTGACAAGCCCTGGGGCTGCTGCTTGCACTCTGAGCTAGCTCAGACTTGCTCCTTGGGACAAGATCTTCCCATTTCCCTTGGGGACGGCTGGGACATTGCAGGAGGCAGAAGCCACCTCCCAGCATAGGAGAAGAGGTTTGCAGATGGGACCAGCTCTGGGGTCTCCTCCCTCCCCACCCATTCCCACCACCAGTGGCAGAGGAGACTCCCACCCTCTGTCCTCCCCCACCACAGCTGCAGGGACGGAGGGTCCTTACGAAGAACTGTCCCCGCACAGGCGGCTGATAAACCCCATTGAACCCGCACGTCCTGTTGGCCCCACAGCTGAAGTTGAAGAGTTTCTGGATGGCAGTGGTGCATGCTGCTGGGTCCCCTGTCCCCATCACCGTGAGGACCTGTGCAGGGCTGGGTGTGCTTGGTGCACGGACACAGGGACTGTTGTAGAGGTCTGCCGTGGTGATGTTCTCCTGGTATCCCTTGGGGTAGCAGGGGTGTGATATCTGCTGGGGAGACGGGCTGCCCTAGAGGGAGCGGGAGCCATTAGTGAGGCTTGGTGCGGGATGCCAGTGAGACCCTACCCCACAGCCCATCCTGTGCTTAGACATTCCCAAAAAGCAGGATCTAGACCCTAGGAAGATTTGAGGAGAAGCAGAATCCATCCTTTGCATGACTAACCTGCCCACAGCTTCTGCTGGTCCTGCTGTCGGCCCCACCACTGAGCCATGCTGGGCTGGCGAAGCCACTGCCAGCCTGTGCCTCCCCATGGGGGTGGCAACCTGCTCCCGAGGGCAGCGTGTGCTCTCTGCCTGCACGGAGAGCTTGTTGCTCTTGGCACTCGCTCTGTCCCCACTGCATCTTGCAGGCCCTAGCCCAGAAAGGACCAAAGATGCATCCCACCTGCAAGCTTCCTGAGCATCTCTGTCTCCCACAGTGCTCTGTTTGAGGTGAGACAGGAGGACAGTGCTTAGCAGTGAAGTGGTGTGCTGGAGGTATGTTGGGAATCCTCTCTCTGGGCAGAAATTGAGGAACGGTGAGTAAATGGGGACAGGGAAGAACGTAAGGCTACGGCTTGGCTTGGGAAAGGTTGAAAAATGCCATTACATGTCAAGGCCTGGAGAGAAGGAAGCCCTGGCAGGGAACCACCACCACCTTCCACCCAAATGAGAGAATTTTTTGGTTTGGTAGATAAAATCTAAGACTCTTCCAGGTTTTTTAATTTGTGAAAATTCCCAATTCCCTAACACTTTTTCCTAAGGCATGCCCAAAATTTCTGGGAGACATTTTTCATGGCAATGGGAAATGGTTCAGCAGATCCTGGTGACCAGTGGCTGCAGTACCTGGTGGAGAGCTGCCAGCAGCATCTTCAAGGCCTGTGTCTGCCCGTAGCAGAGGTAGCTGTGGGTGTAGAGTGAGTAGTTGGTGCCGTACAGCCTGAAGAAGACAGATGTGTTCTTGTCCTCAATGGTGACTTCAGGCTGGAAGGTTATTTGTGTCGAGGCACCTCCAAGGTCCAGAGCTCCGAGAACCTCAGTGTCCTGTGGATGTTCCCATTTCTCTGCAAAGGAAAACTGGCCCAATAAGACCACAATCGTTAGTCTGAACTGGAGGGAGTCACAGTCCTTGTCCCTTCCCTCAAGGTTTTGTGGGCTCAGAAGCCCTTGAGGGACCTTCCATGTCCTGTCTCCCTGTTTAACCCCTTCCTCCCTATGTCCTCCTTGCCCCACATAGACCTCTGTGTAGCACTGAGGTCTGGCCCCTTGGCTGCTGCACATCAGCTGGGATCCAGAGACTTTGAGGAGGGAAAGAGTAACACTTTCATGTGGGTTCTGATGTTGCTGCATCCCTGTGTTACCAAAATTGACCCATATGTAAGTGGAGAGCACAGGGCCAGGCTGAGCTGGACACAGAGACCCTTGATTCTGTTAATCGCATCAGTGGAGTTGAATCTGCAGTCCACAACCACAGGCTACATTTATTAGGATGACTACTGCCCTAAAACTACACTTTTCTCTCCTCTGGGAATAAAGAAACCTGGCTGTAGCTTAAACAGGGATATATATACTGCTCACCCCACCTCTGCCCTCTCCCCCAGCCTGCACCTTGACGAGCGTCTCCAGCAGGTAGTTGACGGTGATCCAGCCAAAGGACCCCTCCTCGTTCCCCGTGAGGATCCGAGCTCCGCGGAAGTCCACAGGGTACTCGCCAATGGCCTTGGCAACCTCAGCGAAGACCTGCTCGGCCTTGGTGCTGTTCTGCTCCCTGCCCAGGGAAGGAGATAAATACCGCACGGTGGAGGAGGCAATGGCTGGGGAGCTTTCAGCGCAGGGCTAACAGCAAGAGGCTGCCGTCTTCTGCAAAGTGTCAGGGCTGCTCAGAGACAGGGCAAAGCCACCAAATCCCTCACTGGTGTGTTGGAAGTCTCCCTAAAAATGCCGCCTGTGGGCTCTGCCTGAGTGTGTGGGAAGGTTAATGCAAATCTGGCAAAGGAGGTTCATCCACCTCTGGGGCTGCTGCCAGGCTGGTGCTGGAGTGGGCTGGGAGGTTTCCTAGTGGGCACGGTGAGCGGCCTTCTTGGACACCCTGGCGGACTGCAGACTTGGGTGCTCTGCCCATCACCATGGCCCCCCCAGGCAGCAGCCCCCCATGCCCCCAGCCCCTTGTGCCACCAGGCCCCCGTCCCATCCCAGCCCTCTGCACCGGCTGTGATGCAGAAATGCGTGGTGGGGAAGGGGTCGGACGTGTGCGGCTCCAGGCAGTGCCAGTACCTCAGCAGCCGCATGCCCGCTGTGGCCCCCAGGTAGGTGGGGGTCTCCCGCTGCTGCTCTGCCGGGATGATCGTCATGGCCTTGTCCAGGCAGGGCTTCAGGCTGGCTCCAGCCCCAGTGGCATTGTCTGCGTAGCTGGAGATGCCAGGTCCTGCAAGAGGGCACCCCGTGATGGAGTGAGCTCAGTGCCACCCAGGAGGGACAGGACAGCAAGGGACATGTCCACCCAGAAAGCCCCCAGGGTTTTCTTCCCGCGTACCCAGGCTAGTTGTGCCCTTGCCAAGGGTGTCCTTGGAAGGGCAGTGCTCAGGGCTGGCCTGCCTGAAGGCAGCACGCACGCCACAGCCATGGCCACGGCCACACCACGCTGCAGGAGCAGGTGGCAAGCTCCTGTGCTGGATGGCGGGGGATGGCTGCAGTTTCAGTCTTGTGATGCTGAGCATGCTTAATCCCAGGGAGGACAAACTGCCCAAAGGCAGCCAGATGGTCCCGCAGGACTCTGTGACAAACAGAGCAGTTTCTTATTTCCCTGGGGCAGGGGCAGGCTCTTATTTGTCCTGCTGGGAGGGCGTGCAAAGCTGATACGCACATGCAGAGGTGCCCTCTGCACCGCTTGTTTGAGTTCCTATTTTTAGGGGCTGGCGCCAGATCTGAGCACCCAGCATGGTCCTGCAGTGGGTAGGGACAGGCTCTGGGGTGGAAATATCACTATTTACCTTCTCCCAAGCTTAGTACACCATTATTGCCATTAGCCCATACGCCCTCTCCCTTATACTTTGCCCTCCGCCAGACCTTTACAGTTAACCAGTAACTGCCATGCCACCAATGCAGAGCCTGGATTTGAGGTAGAGGCAAGCTCTGAGCCCTCCCAGCCCCTGCCCAGGCACCTCTGCCCTGGCCTGGTGGCCTCTGCCAGTCCTAGCCCAGCTGCACATACTATTTAGCTGGCGCTGCCTCCCCTTGCTAGCCTGGTCCTTTCCTCCAGAGACACCAGTCCTTGTGCCAAAGCCCGACAGCACCTTTGCAATAGGAATAAATGCCCCTTTGCATATTTTTAAATGCCCAATCAATAAATGCCTTTTGGGGCATTTACCATTTACTACACCTGGCATGAACAAGCCAACTTGTCTTGGTGTGGTGGGACAGCCACCCTGGGAAGCACCAGGGCCGGCCAGCCCCAGTGCTCCCCAGCTGAGCAGGGACAGGGGAGAGGGACGGACATGTCCCAGCACACTCACCAGACACAGTGCAGGCTTCCACCTGGGAGACAATGCCAGTGCCATTCTCCTTGTCTGCAGGCCACTGGTAGATGTAGAGAGCCGTGTGCGTGGAGCCCGCATCAAACACCAGACCATACTGGGGGAGGCAGAGGGGACATGGGGTGTCAGGACTTGCAGAAAATCTTCACCTGCTGCAGAGCAAGTGGAGCTCCAGGAGAGCCTGCAGAGCTCCTGGTGGGCAGGGGAACCTTGAGTGGCCAAACAAAGCGTGTCACCAGAGCAGGGAAAGCCCTGCGGCTTTGCAGTCACCAGCTGTGTCAAGGACAAGGCTCGATCACAAGCCCTTTGAGCTGGCAATGCTCTGCGATGAAAAGGCTGTATGTGCTGTAGGGCCAGTCACAGTGACCAAACTCTGCCAGACCCACCCGGCATGCCAGCCTGCGTAGGAGGTTGTCCCCACCTCAGTGACAAACAGCACAACCTGCCTGAAACCTGGGGAAAATCCTATACCAAAGGGGCAGCCAGCAGCCAGGCGAAAGCGGGCAGATGCGCTCCTCCCAAGGACCCTACCTTGGTGCTGGGAGGCAGAAACACATCCTTCACATTCACGACACTCAGAATGAGGGCAATGATGCTGAAGACACAGGTGGCTGCCAGGAGACCTACAACAGCCTTGGCTTTGTAGTCCATTCCTCCTTCAACCTGCAAGAATAGCCCCAACCCCCAGCTCACACCTCTGCATTTGCAAGGCCAGTTTTGAAATGCAGATCTCATGGATGGATATGGGACCCGTCAAGATAGGACTTTCCCCTTCCCTAACAAGGGCTTGAAGCCATTCTGTGGTGCATGGCTGATCTTATGGGAAGCTCTTGGCAGTCTTGGGGCTGGGACACCCTCTCCTCTGAGCACTCCCTCCCTGAGGGATTTTCAGCACGGCTTTTTCAGCCCTGCCTTCTCAACTGCTGCCCTTCAGGTCCTCTGCACGCAGCCTGGACCCCATCCCTCTGCCTTGCTCAAACTACCAGCAGCCTGGCAGGTCAGCATCTCCTTTCCCAGCAGCATCACTTGGGGAAGCATGGCAGTGGCTAACAGGAGTCCTAGACTGGGAGCAGGACCATGCCCTGGCAGGTTCCCAGTGTCGCCATCCTCTCCAGGGTGCAGAGCCACATCTCTCTGTCACTCACATGCTGCCATCACACCCTTCACCCTCACAAAACCCATCCCACAAGACTTGGTACCATCAAGTCATGTCTGTTGCCCAACAGGCCCAGACTGTCCCTGAGAGGGTCCTCTCTGCTCCAGGCAGGGGAACAGCATGTCCAGCCACATGCCTCCTGCCTGGCCCAGCTCTCCTCAGCTCTTGGTGATGCCACAGCAGGTAAGCAGACACGCAGGGATGGTGTCCTTGCCTGCAGGTGATCTCCAAGTCTCTCCTGCAGCCCCAAGGGCAGGCAGAAGGGCAGAGGCAGAAAGCTCCCACTGGTCTGGGCACACACAGTCCCGGAGCCAAACTGGCATGCTGACAGCGATAGCATTGCACAGGCAGGCAAGGCCAGTGGGGAATGGAGCAGGTCCTGTGCTGCCCGCTCCTCCGGCCAGAGCTCAGGTCCTGGCAGAATCAGCTCTGAGGCATCAGTAAGAAATTGCAGTGGAGAAGCAAAAGCCAAAGGGTCTGGTTCTCTGCAACAGCCTCAGCACACAGAGGCTGATGTGTTCACATGCTCAGCACCCCACAGCTGGTCCAGATGTGCTTTTCTAAATGCACAGCTCTCCCTCCTTCTCCTGCACTGCCTGGTTCCATGCCACCAGCTGCCCAGGCAGCATGCCTGTGGGGAGCCAGGCTGACCTCCATCCATGGCATTAGGCTGCAAGCCAGACTCCAGCTGAGCAGTGGATGTCCCAAAAGCCCTGGACACAGCCTAGAGAAGCAGTTTAACCCAACCAGTGCTTTAGGGTGGCACCTGGAAGCTGCCACTTGGCAATTCTCCTGCAAGTGCATATGTGGCATGAGATGTATAATGATGGATAGCAGCTGTTCTGGCCCATATCATGGGACATGGGACTACAGGAAATCCTTATCAGACTTTATCCTACAGCCAGGAACCCTCCCCTGTATGATGGCCAGATGAAATCATAGGGAAGCAGCTGATGAATCCCAGCATTGTCACGTCTCCAGTCCTATCAGCCCTGCTAGAGTTTGCCCAGATAAAACTGTGTCATTGGGATGCGATTCCCCTGCTCCAGGTAACACAGCAATGGCAAAAGTCCCCAGCCCAGCCTACATCCTGGAAAAATCTGTGCAATGGAAGGATATGAAATAGTGATAAATTGCACCGTCCTGCATGCAGGAGCAGGTGGGAAATGGGCTTCACCTGCTCTGGTAGGGACTGATTTCCATTTCGACTGGGCAGGAGGAAACATCCAAAGGCAGCACAGAGCCAGCAAGGCCCAGGAAGGAGAGCAGGGCATGGTGAGGGAGCCCAGTGGGTGGAAAACAAGGTGAGGTGTGCGAGAAGCTGACTGATTTGCCCAGCCTTTCTGTGGCACCTCAGGGCTGGCTGGCACTGATACCCGCTACCGTACATGGCAGGTTCAGTCAAGCAGCAGGGATGGGAATAGTGGTGATGCCTCCAGAGCTGAAGTTGCTATACAGTGCCGCAAGGAGCAATGCCCAGCCATTTCAATGCGTGGAAAGTTCACAGCTGTGCACAGTGCTTGGGCTGTTGCTGCACTTGTTTGTGCACAACAATGTGCTCTACAAACACCCACGGGATGTCCCTCACCTTGCAGCAACCCTTGGGTGGAGGGAGTGGGGCCTCAACTTTCAGGAGGAAAGGCTCAGAGGCACTGCTGGATTGAAACTTTCTGTTGCTCAGGAAAATGGAAAGCTGACTTCTGCACTGTGCACATTTGGGATTTAAAAGTCAAAAAGGCTTTTAAGTTTATAAGAAAGAGGGTGAACGTGCATGCCAGGAGCATCTTTGCCAGGCAGAGTGGTCCCCTGCCTCCCATCAGTGCTGGGGCTCAGCAGTGCCCTCCATGCCCTTCTGCCCCCTGCACCATGGGCACCTCATGCAGTGAGCAGCCACCCTAGCCCTCTTCCACCTGCCCCTCCGGCCTGCGGAGCATGTTTATCCCCAGCACCCAGCTCCGCTGCTGGCCAGGGTGCACCCGCGGCTGAGCCCACCACTGCCCCTCCAAGCACAGCTCCATCGAGGGGTACCCCGGCCCCCAACCCTGCCTGCGGCTCACCCAAGCTGCTGCTGGCTCCCAGTACCACCACGCTCGCTCCGGTGTCAGCGCGTACCTGGAGTGCAGAGCCCCGCTCCTGGGACAAAGGCTGCCCCAAGTCCCCGGTATGGCCCTCCCCTTGGCCCTGGACCAGAAACCTGCCCAGGAGAGCGCTTGTTCAGGAGGCAGCAGGGCTGAGGCTGGAGAGCTGGGGTGGAAACAGCATCTGGCATTAACCACTTAGCTGCTGGAGGAGCAGGTCTGCCTGGGAGATCTCCTCCCATGGGGGTGGTGTGGGTGCCTGCACTGCCCAGCGTGGGTTGAGCAGGGGGGCAGCTCCCCACGAAGCTCATGACGAGCCCAACCTGTGCCTCTGCCCCTGTGGGGAGCCTGTGAGCAGGCTGGCCCTGAGAGGAGGGCAGTGGCTGAGGTCTGGGAGCCCCACAGACATCCCTGCCCCAGACCTGCTGAATAAACACACTGCAAGGTAAAGCACGGGCCAAGCCTGCCCTGCTGTCACCTGGCTCTGCTGTGCCCCACGCTGCCCCATTGCAGGCAGAGGCAGGCTGGCAGAGGGGCTTAGGACACGAACAGGAGGGACGTGGCAGGTGGAGACCTGTCTCAGTGGCCCGGCACCTGTCCCCACAGCCAGGGACCTGTTCCCACGGCCAGGGACCCCTTCCCACAGCCATCCACGTGGGACCCATCCCCATGGCCAGGGACCCACCTGTGCCCACGGCCAGGGACCCGTCCCCATGGGGAGTGCAGGCAGAGGTGCAGGCAGGCCGGGCTGCTGCCCCAGTGCAGGCAGCGGCTGCCGCTGAGCGTCCTGCTCCCCACGCCAAGCTCCCGCCCCGGGCTGGCCGGGGAATCAACCCGGACATCCGAGGCCAGCACAGGCCTCACTTTCGCTTTCCATTGCTCCCCTGGGCTGGGTGCAGGCAGAGCTGCGCAGGCAGGGCGGGCAGGGCTGCCCTGAGGCCGTGCCCGGGGGGATAGGCAGAGGGAGCAACGGGCTCAGTCCAGCTCGGTGCATCTACGCCCGAGGAAGGAGGGGTGCTCCCAGCACAGGTACGGCGGGGGCCGGCCGGGACCCCGGCCACCCAGTCCCCGAGGGCTGGGCAGGAGGCAGCCTTCGCCCTTCCCCGGGATGGGAGCTCCTGGCAGGCGGCCGCCCGGGTTCGGCCCTGCTCGTGCCAGGTTGCTGCTCTGCTGCCAGCCAAGGGACAGGTTCACGGTCTCCACACCTGGCTGCTCCATGTCCCAGGGTGTCATTCAGGGGATGTGCGGTTCCTGAGCTGCCGGGAGAAGGGGAGCCGGGGAGGAGCTGGAGAGATGGGGCAGGGGGGTTGGGGCTGCCCTTGCAAAGACCATCCCTCCCCACAGCCCGGTGCAGGGATGCAGATGCACCTGCTCAGGGTGGTGGGCTGGAGCTCAGCAGCCGTGCTGGGAGTGCTGGGGGTGGCCGTCTTCCTCCTGGTCCTGACCCTGGTGAAGGACGCTGCCCTTCCTACGAGGAACAAAGTAGGTGCCCGGTGGGTGTTGGGGGAGCCCAGGAATGACCACCGGCCCCTTCCCACCTCTCATCCTTCCATCAGTCCTGCTTTCCTCTCCACTTGCAAGTCTTCCCATAACCAGCCAAGCTTTGCTGGGCTTAACCTAATCAAGGTAGCACTGGGCGGATCAACCACCCTCCCCAAAACCACAGTCCAAGGAACCAAGGAAGGGAGAAAGAAGAGCAGCCCTCCTCCTGAGGCTGCTCCATTTTCTACCCCAGACACTTTCTCTTCTCTGTTTTCAGACATCCAGAGCACATGGTGGGTTTACATCTCTCCCACCTGTTGCTTTCTGCTGGCTTTTGCAGACAGTTAAAAAACAGTCAGGGTTTGTGAGATTTGCCACTTCTGAAGGTCTGGGAGCAGCTTTGGCAGCCTGAGCTCTTTGGGACATGCCTGGATGCCTCCCTGCTCTGCAAATCACCCTGCTGACCTGCATGCCTTCCCTTTCTGAGCTGTAACTCCCTTGAATGGCTAAATCAGGGGTGCTAGATATTGAGTGGGGCTGCTAAAGGGAGGTTGGATGGGCAGACCTGTGCTGCTCGTGTTCACACATGGGAAGGGAGACCAGAAGCTCTCAGAAACCCCCGTGGCACTTGGTGCAGCCCCAAGTGTGCTGTGACCTCACGTCCCCTCTTCCTCCCCCAGTACGGTCTGGTGTTTGATGCTGGCTCCATGCACACGGCTCTCTACATCTACCGGTGGCCCACAGACAAGGAGAACAGCACTGGCATCGTCTCCCAGGTGGAGGCCTGCACTGTATCTGGTAAGTGTGCTGGGATGTGTCCATCCCTCTCTCCCAGCCTACTGGATCCCTGTCCCAGACTCTCACAGCATCATCGGTGACCTGAGTCTTTCAGCCTGCACTGGGCCAAAGGGAGATTGCCTGGTGGAAGAGTGAAAGTAAAGTGTTAGGGGGGATAGTTTGCACCTTAGGGTGCCCTACAGTAATTGGGGGATCCAGAGATGTGTAAGGACTTTGGCCCCTAGTTAGCACGGTTCCTGGAGCCACTCCAGTCTTGCAGCTGGTGGTTGTGCATCAACTCACAGCTTGGGATGCTGGAGGTGCAGAGTTTGCTCCTTCTCCCATGCAACCGCTTCCTTGGCTCTTCTTCCCACAATATCTCTTCACAGCTTCTTTCATAATGTGTGGCTTCATGTTCCCACAGGGCCTCCTAAAATCTCTGCAGAAGTCCCTAAACATTACTCTGTTTCAGATGGGGTTTTGTGTGCAGTTCCTAACTGTTCTTTGGGTCAGCAGTTTTCATTTTGGTATCTGTACGGCACCAAACACAGCAGAGTTTTGGGCTGTGACTGGGACCTCTTGGTATTGCCAAGGAGGTCCAGGATGCCTCCTGGGCCTGGGGAATGGGTGGACATGTCCCTTGCTGTCCTGTCCCTCCTGGGTGGCACTGAGCTCGCTCCATCACGGGGTGCCCTCTTGCAGGACCTGGCATCTCCAGCTACGCAGACAATGCCACTGGGGCTGGAGCCAGCCTGAAGCCCTGCCTGGACAAGGCCATGACGATCATCCCGGCAGAGCAGCAGCGGGAGACCCCCACCTACCTGGGGGCCACAGCGGGCATGCGGCTGCTGAGGTACTGGCACTGCCTGGAGCCGCACACGTCCGACCCCTTCCCCACCACGCATTTCTGCATCACAGCCGGTGCAGAGGGCTGGGATGGGACGGGGGCCTGGTGGCACAAGGGGCTGGGGGCATGGGGGGCTGCTGCCTGGGGGGGCCATGGTGATGGGCAGAGCACCCAAGTCTGCAGTCCGCCAGGGTGTCCAAGAAGGCCGCTCACCGTGCCCACTAGGAAACCTCCCAGCCCACTCCAGCACCAGCCTGGCAGCAGCCCCAGAGGTGGATGAACCTCCTTTGCCAGATTTGCATTAACCTTCCCACACACTCAGGCAGAGCCCACAGGCGGCATTTTTAGGGAGACTTCCAACACACCAGTGAGGGATTTGGTGGCTTTGCCCTGTCTCTGAGCAGCCCTGACACTTTGCAGAAGACGGCAGCCTCTTGCTGTTAGCCCTGCGCTGAAAGCTCCCCAGCCATTGCCTCCTCCACCGTGCGGTATTTATCTCCTTCCCTGGGCAGGGAGCAGAACAGCACCAAGGCCGAGCAGGTCTTCGCTGAGGTTGCCAAGGCCATTGGTGAGTACCCTGTGGACTTCTGCGCAGCTCGGATCCTCACGGGGAACGAGGAGGGGTCCTTTGGCTGTATCACCGTCAACTACCTGCTGGAGATGCTCGTCAAGGTGCAGGCTGGGGAAGAGCGCAGAGGAGGTCCCACCACCTGTGGTCTGGGCTGGGAAGCTGATATGCCTGTGGTAGCCCTGTGCTGGGTCCGTCCCTGTGGGTAACTCCTGGTGCTGGGTAGTGCTCCTTCACAGGCAAGTGGATCCACCCGCCAGCAGAGGATGTGGTCGGAGCTCTGGACCTCGGCGGGGCTTCAACCCAGATCGCATTCCTTCCTGGGACCACCATAGATGACAGCAGCACGAGAGTCGTCCTCAGGCTGTACGGGACCAACTACTCCATTTATACCCATAGCTACCTCTGCTACAGGCAAAATCAAGCCCTGAAGATGCTGATGGCATCCTTACACCGGGCAACCACCTCCAGCCTTGTGCTCCTCCACAGCCCCAGTCTCACTGAGTTGGGCAGCCAGCACCCGCTGGGTGTGACAGCTGCTGGGCTCAGTGCCTTGGTGCAAACTCCAGTGAGGATGGTGGATACACCAGGGCCACCATGCCAGGAGCCATCCCATGGGTGTCCCAACAGCAGAGGGCAGGACTGAGCCAAGATGGAGGTGGACACCCCAAAGCAGGACACCTGACCACAGGTGCTGCTGGGATGGTGGATGCCTGGGATCCCTGTGCCAAGGCCATCTTGCCCAGCAGATCTCCATCCCTGTCCTGATGGAGGGGTTGTGTCAGCCCAGCCTCAGTCACAGCAGCCTGGAAGGACCCAGGCCTGGAGAAGGGAGCCTGCTAGGTGCCAGGAAGTTGGGGAAGACCCAGTGAGATTTTTTAGCATCAGTATGGCAACGAATACATTGGTTTTATGGGTAGAAATCTGGTCTTCAGCAGTAGGCGCTGGGCATGAGAGAGTGAAGGGTGGTGGTGTTGCTGCACAGGGGGACCCTCGTGTCCACAGCTTGGCTGTGAGGTGAGGGCTCAATGCCAGCTCACGCTGGTTGGAATGGGCAAAACACCACATCCAGAGCACATTGCAAAGAGAAATCAACATCTGTTTTGTTTTTACTTACATGGCTTCTCAGCCTTGGCTCTCTCCGGAGTCTGGTGAACCTACAAAGGAAGAGTGGGGACAAAATGGGTCCTTGATTAGCACAGGGTGCAAACCCCCAAGGCCTTGGGCATACAAACATCACTGTAGCTGATCCCTGACCACAGCGTGGTTGTGCCATGCTTGTCTGCACGATTCTGTGCCTGCACCCCGTGGACAAGATCCCATGGGTGGTGGGGCCAGCATGCTAGTCTCCTGCATCTTGGTGTGGGAACAGGCCCTGTATGTGGGCTGTTTCTCTCCTTTCTATCCTCATCGTCAGTGTCAGGGTGATGCTAACAGCTCCCACTCTCTCCAGGGCAGCCCGTCTCCCCAGCAGATATCACACCCCTGCTACCCCAAGGGATACCAGGAGAACATCACCACGGCAGACCTCTACAACAGTCCCTGTGTCCGTGCACCAAGCACACCCAGCCCTGCACAGGTCCTCACGGTGATGGGGACAGGGGACCCAGCAGCATGCACCACTGCCATCCAGAAACTCTTCAACTTCAGCTGTGGGGCCAACAGGACGTGCGGGTTCAATGGGGTTTATCAGCCGCCTGTGCGGGGACAGTTCTTCGTAAGGACCCTCCGTCCCTGCAGCTGTGGTGGGGGTGTGGGGTTTTGGGGCACCAGAGGCTGGCCATGACCCCAGGAAAACTGCTGTAGGAGAAAAGTCTGAATAGTGCCAGCCCTGAAAGCTGGGATGTGCCCGATGCATGGAGACAAGCAGGGTGCTTACCAGCGTGCCACGCAGACCCAGACCTCTGTTGTCACAGCACCAGTCTCTTCTGGTGTGGGGACCAGTCCCAGGGCTCCCTCCCAGCAGGTCAGCGGGCATCACCCTGTGGTGCTGAACGGTGGCCTTAGGGACCCCTGCAGAGCACCCAGAGAGAGGGGCGGGGGGGGGTGGCAGTGGCCTGGGTGCTTCACTAACTTGCTGCCTTTGGTCTTAAACACCTACAGGCCTTTTCGGGGCTTTATCACAACTTTCACTTTCTGAACCTGACTGGAGGGCAGTCTCTGACCTCGGTCAATGCCACCATTGGGCAGTTCTGCACCAGCAGCTGGGAGAAGGTGAGATCCTGCTTAGGAGATGCCAGCCCCTGCCCATGTTTCACCTGGGTGCTGGGCAGCCTGAGGGCTCATCCGCTGCCCATCCTCTGCTGCACAGATGGCAGCTGGAGGGAGCTGGGAGGAGCACAAAGATCTCTGGACAGGGAGAGAGATGGGAGAGCAGCCTGCAGCCTCCCAGGTCCTCCTTGCTCCCCAAGCGCAGGCATTCCCAGGTCTTTGCTCCCAGCTGCACCGCGGGGCTCTTTCCTGCAGTGTGGGTGCACCAAGCACTGCTCTGTGCTGGCGGCCCTCCCCAGCAATTCCACCTCTGCAGGTGCAGAAGGAGTTCCCCACCGTGGGCAGGACCCACCTCCGTGATGCCTGCGCAGCCAGTTTCTACACCCTCGCCCTTCTCCTGCAAGGCTACAAATTCAACCACATGACATGGCTTAACATCCACTTTGTCCCGCAGGTAGGAAAGTGCCCGGCAGCTGCCAGCTTCCATGCTTCGTGATGTGAAATGGCTCTTGCCCACCCTGCCGCTGCCCGTGCCCTGCCTGGATGGGGGAGCAGGGGATAACAGGGCAGCACGGTCCACTGCCTGTGCCCAGGGCAGCTCTTGAGTTATGCTCACAGGCACTTGCTGGGACATCTGCCCTGGGCAATTTATGGTCTCCCCAGCTTATCTCACTAACGGGGTATCTGCAGCCTGAGGTGTGCACAGATATGGTGGCTGTGGAGCAGGACCTGGGGGTGCAACAGCAAAGGTCTTCTCTCGCTCTCCAGCTTGTGTGGTACTTTGCAGCCCTTCACATCCCTCTTCCTCCTCTGTCTGCACAGGTCGCTAATGTAGACATGGGCTGGACTCTGGGCTACATGCTCAATCTCACCAACATAATTCCCTCAGAGACTCCCCAGAGAGTCATAGGGCTCCAGAGAAGCAACTGGATAGCAACCACAGTTTTACTGGCTGTCATTCTCATCCTCATCTTCTGCCTGCTCACAGTCATATGCTGCCAGAAAAATTCCTCCAGTTATGAGAGTCTCTAGCAGCACTGGCTCCAGAGGCCACTGGAGCCACTTAGCCCTGCTGGCACACTTGTGTGAGGAATTACAGACCATGTGTCCAGGAACTGTGAACTTGTAATGTGGGGCACCTGTGTCCTGGCCTGGTGAGCTGGAACCAGCAGAGGCTTTAAAAAATCCTCCCTGTAGCTGTGTGCTGTCTGGTTTTTCCTTTCCCCTCGCTGCTGGTTGGAGATGCTCCAGGAGGGAGGGAGGGAGGGCATGGACACGTGGGGCAGGGGTGCAGTGCTAGGGGCATGGGGACCACAGTGATGTGGGGTGGCTGGAGATGGTGGGACCCGTGGGTTGGGGAAGAGAGAAGGGGTGTCTGACAGCAACAGGCTCATCACAGGGCTGGTTGCAGCCTGCAGAAGCTACCCCATGTGGGGTGGATGTGTCCTGCCCCATCCTGGGACAAGAGCCTGCATTGCCCACAGCCACCAAGAGGGTGGTCAGACACTGCAACAAGCTTCCTAGAGAGGTGGTTGATGCCCCAAGCCTGTAAGCATTGAAGAGGCATTTGGACAACGCCCTTAATAACATGCTCTAACTTTTGATCAGTGCTGAAGTGATCAGACAGTTAGACTTGACGATCATTGTAGGTCCCTTCCAACTGAAAAGATTCTATTCTATTCTATTCTATTCTATTCTACGCCAGGGGCAGTGACAATGGGGCTGTGGGGGGAAGTTGGCCTGGTAGATGGGACTCAGACTCTGCCCAGGACTGGGAAGCCCATTGAAGTGGGGGATGGCAGCAGTCCCCTGCTCTCCCATGCGAGGTTCCTCTCTGGTCCAGCTGCACCCTGTGTCTGTGCCTGGCAGACATCTCACCCTCCCTTTCCAGCACACAGGGCAATTTGGGAACGCTGCTGGAACATCTCAGGGGCAGCTCCCAGGCCCCCCCTTACATTTTGGGGGAGTCCCACTGGTGGCCAGTGGATGGGTGAAGTGAGGACAGCCCAGCTCTCAGAAGGAAAAGGCCTGTCCTCGTGCCCTGCTGGCTCCTCTCCCAGGCCTGGCAGACATTGCAAGGTCTCCAGGGCCATCTGTAACACTGAGCAATGTTGACTCTCCCCTGAGTCCCTGTCATCACCAGCTCTTACCTGGGGGACAGAAACAATAAAATCATAACTGTTCAGGAGCAAAGTAACAGGTATTTCCCCATTCACTACCTTTTACAAAGTTTATTTGGATGACGAGAGCTGTGAGATGCCTGCCTTTCTGCAGAGACACCAAAGGTCAGCTTCTTGCTGCTGGGAGCCAAATAACAAGATGAATCATCCACAGGGCAGATAACAAATGGGCAGGACTAAAGGCAAGGCAAAGGCGCAGTCATGGGCAAGACCCAGCTCAGCCACATGCGCAGGGTCAGGGCAGGACTCGCAGCCTGCTGGAGTCGCAGCCTGACACCCACAGTGTCCAGGCCTTCTGCTGGTGGGACAGTCTGGTCTGCAGGAAGATACTCAGGAACATCAATCCCTTTATCCCAGAAGAAAAGGAAGATGAGATGAGATGGACCCTCTGGGGATGCATGGACCATGCTTCTGATTTTGGATGCTCAGTTTGCTTTCTGTCTGCAAGACCATCACATAAGCCCAAACAATACAACCTCAGGAGAGACAGCTGGGGTACTGCGGAGCCTTACATGCCCTCACACTGGCAGACCTGGCAGTGGCCATTGGCGACTGTGCTCAGACCCAGCATTGCACAAAGCACCCTGTCACCAAATGCCTGCAGCTGTGCACTAACAGTCTGGCACTGGGGAGCTCCTCCATGGCCGGGCTGGCTATCCACAGCCCCACGAGCCAGCCGGTGGGACAGAGACCATATCTGTAACAGACATAGCAGTGTAAGGAGGCAGATATGGGTGGCTGGGGTTTCTGTGGGCTGTAGGCTGATCCCAGCAGGTCTCCAAAGGAGCAGAGCTCCTCTGGAAACTTTATGTGGTGCCTAGCTGCATGTTGGGGGCAGTCCCATCGGAGGCCAGCCCTCGGTTTTCAGTGCTGTAGAGGTTAACGTGCTCAGCATCATTGAATCAGCCTCAGGCTGCCAGTCCTGCAGGCAGAAGTGCAGGGCACCACAGTGCAGACAGCCCTCCAGCCCTGACATGCTCCTGCCAGGCTCTGAAACACAGCCAGGCTCCTACACCCACAAGAGCAGGAGCAGGGCAGCAAGTCCCAAGGCAAGGGTGAGGACGATGAAAGTGACGGCCGCAGCCCACAGGGAAGGAACATGCCCCTTCATCCGCACTGGAGCCTCTGCCGGGATCATGTTGGTGAGGTTCAGCATGTAGCCCAGTGTCCAGCCAATGTCAGCTCTCCCCGCCTGCCCGAGGAGAGAGGGGACAATGAGTTAGTCCTGCAGAAAAGTCACACTAATGACACAGGGCCACCTACTCCTGTGCAGCCTGGGTGCAGTAGCAGAAACCGGGTGCTGGGATGTCGGGTAGGCAGGGCTTTCCGGACCATATGTCGTGGTTTAACCCCAGCCAGCAACTAAGCACCACGCAGCCGCTCACTCACTCCCCCCCCATCCAGTGGGATGGGGGAGAAAATCAGGAAAAGAAGTAAAACTCCTGGGTTGAGATAAGAACGATTTAATAGGACAGAAAAGAAGAGACTAATAATGATAATGATAACACTAATAAAATGACAACAGTAGTAATAAAAGGATTGGAATGTACAAATGATGCACAGGGCAATTGCTCACCCCCCGCCGACCAACACCCAGCCAGTCCCCGAGCGGCGATTCCCTGCCCCCCCCTCCCAGTTCCTAAACGAGATGGGACATCACATGGTATGGAATACACTGTTGGCCAGTTTGGGTCAGGTGCCCTGGCTGGGCATGAGAAGCTGAAAAATCCTTGACTATAGTCTAAACACTACTGAGCAACAACTGAAAACATCAGTGTTATCAACATTCTTCACATACTGAACTCAAAACACAGCACTGTACCAGCTACTAGGAAGACAGTTAACTACATCCCAGCTGAAACCAGGACACCATAGCTCTCATGGCTCCCTGATGTGGGAATCTGGCTCTTTTCCCCAGCACTGCCTCTACTCCTGCCCACGGGCTGGGTTTGCAGCCTACCTTCATCTGGAAGAAGATGTTGTTCCAGCTGGTCTCGTTGAACTTGTAGGCGTCGAGGAGGAGTGTGAGGATGTAGTTGGCGTTGGCGCAGTATTTAGGCAGTCGCTCGCGATTCTCTTCAGGGTAGCTAGAAGACAGCTGGAGGCGGGGGACATGTTTGGGGAGGAAGGGAAGTTATTTGCAGGCAATTTCTGTGCAGGGAAAATGCCCTGATGACTGCCACAAGAGAGGCAGTGGCTCCACAGCCACCAGCATCCAGGAAAAGACTCCTGGACCAGGCAGGTATTTTGGACCTGTCCACACAGGGCAACTCCTTTGAGGAGGATTTACTCTCCACATAGAAACAGAGATGTATTGGAGTTCCTCCTTCCCCAGATTCTCCCATCTCAGCCTCATCATACAAGAGTCCCCTGCTTTTTGCCCCATGGTTGTCCTACCACAGCTCTTGCCCTTATCCATCCCCATTTGACTCCTCCCCAGAGTGGTGCCAGCAGCTGGCTCCCCTCTCACCATCACCCAGGCCTCCAGCCCCACCTCCATCCCCAGCTCCTGTGCTGGTGGAGAGATTTTGCTGCCTTCACCTGCCCCAGCTGCCCCTTTCCCAGTGTTGCATGAGCAAGGAGGGCCCCTGAGGGTGGGTGCAGGACAGTCCTCGCTCCCACACAGAGCTCAGGGATGGCTCTGCTTTGTAGGCCACAGCTCAGCAACCAGGGAGCCTTGCCCTGGGGGAGTCCCCACTCCTCTTCCCCCACCCCAGGACCCCTTTGCTTGTGAGGCTTCCCTATAGCCTCCCATTGTGGGGAACGTACGTCTTCCCAGCTTCTTGTGCAGAAATGCTTGATGGTCTCCCTGACAGTGGCCAGCGACTGTCCCTCGGTCAGGTTGAGAAACTTGAAGTTATAGTAAAAGGCAGAGAAGGCCTGAAAGCAAAAGCCAGAAATGCCATTGAGCTACACTGGGGAAAGCCCCCCCAGGCAGCTGCCCCTGTCTCCCTTGAAGCAGGAGGTGGGGTTTGTCTTTCACCAGGTTTGTGTAGTGCCTTGTATAGTCCCAGGGCATCGTTGTCCATGTCCCAGCAGAGATGATGGGCTGGGGATTTAAGTGCCTGCTGGCTACAGCAGCACGTGGAGTGCAGGCAGAGCCTTGCCTGAAGGCTGCTGGTTAAGCTGTCTTCTTTTACTGAAAACTTGGGTTTTGACTAAGCACCTGTTTTATTAACATGGTCCCATTTGGAGAGCTGGCTAGGAAACCAGATGGCAGCAATCCCTGGTGTGCCCTGGGGCAGTGGTAATTTGGGAGCTCCTTGCCCCCATTCTGCTGGAGGTAGGTGGCAGTGCCGTGGGGCATGCAGGGACACCACAGCACCCGAGGCCATGGTCTGCCGTGGAGGTGGGAGGACAGGATTTGCCTTACAATGAATTGCCCGCTGACGGGGGGCTGGTAGACACCATCGAAGGTGCAGTCCTGGCTCTGGCTGCACGCCGAGAAGTTGAACAGCTTCTTGATGGCAGCCAGGCACCCACTGGCATTGCCCCTGCCCTCCAGGGTCACGTTCCTGTCGTCATGGGTCAGGCGTGGGTCGCTCTGGTTCGTGCAGGGGCTGGTGCGGAAGGAAGACAGTGAGACGGTTTCATTGTAGTCTTTCGGGTAGCAAGGGTGATCAATTCGCGTGCTGGAGAATGACTCCTGGGAATAGCAAAATCACAGGCTGCAAACCCTCCTCCAAACCCTCTTGGTGGGCATGCTAGGAGGCAGGATTTACCCAGTGCTCCCCCCAAAGCCACGAGCGCAGGCATCTCCCACCTCCTCAGCAGAGAAAGACCTTCCTGCTGTTTAATCCTGGTCTTGTTGGCCATCTGCAGTCCCAGCTGAGCTCAACATTAATTTATGCT